CCACATCGTGACCAATGTTTCATGATCTCCTTGTTGGATTTATTTTTTTCTGTATTAATTTAAATAAAATTTTAATCCAAACATGCGCTCTGTGTTTTTTATGATATGTCCAAGATGCTGGGTCTGAAACTTTGTTGTTTCTTAAATAAAAATAAAAATTGTTAGATAAATCAATTAAGTGTCCTAGTTAATTAAATGAGCTGTTTTAATTCATCTTAATAGTGACGTCAAAAAGCATGATTGGCAAAACCAACTGCACTTTCGTGTTTGTGAAACAAGATGCATTTAGAGTAGTTGGACCTGTGAATTTTTAACAAAATAAAATGTTGGCTGCCTCGCGAGTGTTCACGAAATACCATTTTATTTTTAGCCAAGACCGTGGGTGGGCAATTTGAAATTAATTAAAATGTCGATTTCCAAATAGAATAGGGTTGCCAGATACCTTTTCCGAAAATACTGGACACCTTTCCATCCTTACCTTCTCAGGTATGCCGCAAAGCAGAAGAAGGGGGGTAACAGAGTATTATTCATATACTTGTCCAGTATTTATATTTATTTTATCCTGGACAGTCTGCTCAAATACTGGACTGTCCAGTTCAAAACTGGACACCTGGCAACCCTAAAATAGAACAATAATTAGTCATCAATAACTGAAGTAGAGTATTCTAAAAATATCTATTTTATCATTTAGCAGGGAAAATTTTACTTGTTTCTTTATCCGACTTTCCAGTTTTTAGATTTCTTAGTGGGAGTTAACCAAGGGAGGTCAGTCAAATAAAATATTCATCTTAGCGTAAGCTAAGCTAGAGAAACATGACTGTCGTTACGTAATAAATAATAAATAAATAAATATGTATATAGATCTACTACACTAGTCGTAAATATTAAGTTAAAGTTGATCACGATTTTGCTTTTATACGGAATTATCAAAACTATGGTCTTGTTGTTTATCATAACTTCTTTTCAAGGCGTCACCCCATCTATTTTATTTTATAAATATTTTTATTGTGATGTGAGTGAGAAGAACAGAAACACGAACATCGCTGTCGACACTGGTGGAGGTCAGGAGAGTTTTTCAGCTGACGAAAAACGTAAGATCCGCAAAATTCAACTAAAGAGAGTCGTTGAAAGATTTCATTCTATTTATCAGTTTTTCACTGCAACGAGTTCGAGAAGTATGGACTCTGATATTCAAATATTAAACAGTGATGATATTGTACCAGAATTCGAAACTGGCCATTTTAAACTTTACAAGGATGACCCATTCTTTCAAGATATGCATGTCATTTGGACTACAGTTTGTGGTTTAGGTCTAGCATTTATTTGTAATGCTTGTGAAAATAGATTACAAGCTGAAATAACTCTAAAAGTTTTGGTACGTGAATTACATGTTTTATGTAAAAGTATATTGCAACCAAATGATATTTTAAACAAACCAGACAGAGTTGGAACTGTACTGTCTAAATTTGTGCCTGATGGAAATCTTTTATTTATGAATCATAGAACTATCCGACAGTTTGAAAGAGAAGCTGAGGCACATCTTAAAGCTGCTTCCAATTAATTATCATGGTTCTAAGTCAAGGCATTAATTAGATGGTAATTGCTGTATTACACTGAGAAATTTGTAATGTTGAGTCATACCATTAACTCAGACTTTAACTTTAATCTTTCATTTGTGATATATGAATGTATATTGTGATGTCTGCATCAACTTTACCATGGTGTATGCCTTTTTATTATTTATTCTACCTTTTAAACTACCAAATAAATGAAATACACCACTTACAGTAATAATGTTTAGACCTACTTACAACATTCCTAATTTTATTAGGCGTACTACTACTGGAATCAATCTTGCTTCTTGTATGAAAGAACAAGGGTTGAACATAGAAACATGCCTCATTTGTCATTTTAAAAATTATGAATGTTGAATATTAGATTTTTTGAAAACATACTACAATATAACGATTGCTGCATTTTTTTTTTCACAATGTCAAATTAGATTTATTTATGTTGTCCAAATTTTTGGACCTAATTGCTGAATAAAATGTGTCTAGCCCACCAAACTTACTTCACTTTATTTAACAAAATCATAAACATGTGTTTATATAGTCGCATGATCTGCTGTTCAGTTTTAATGAATTTAATAATTGAGTGATTCACTAGGTGCTTGTTTACTGGCTAATATAAAGTCATTGAATTCCTTATTTCAAAGTTGTTATATATTAGTTTATAGGGCAAAGCAGATGTCTGTGATGATATATATACATTGCAAATATTAATATAGTTTTAATTTGTCTTTCTTTTTACATACTTATATGAACAATGTCTATTCCTAAAAGTTATTTATTTTCTTACACCATGTATACACTAACAGCATGTATCTTATTCTTGTCTAGGAAAAAAACTAGCAAAAAGTTAATGTTATATGAAAACAATTTTCCCACTGATCATGTATACTAACTTGCTGCAAGTTTATTTTCTATACATGTACAGTATACATGTTGCAAGTGTAAATGCTGTGTTAATGTTATTTTTCAAGGGTCAGTATTTTGTTCCAATTTACACTCACAAACTTAGTCAATATAATTTTAGAAAGTATATTAAACGCATCCTTTTGTGAATCTTGCCATGTATTATTACTGTTAGTGTTGATTGATAAGTTTGCTTTCCTTTATAATTCAACTTATTTGCAATTATTTTATTGATGAACAAGAAAAGATGCATTTAATTTTATTTAGTGTGTATATGTCTAAAAACATCTATGTTTAATAAATCAAAGAGACATTTTTTAATGTCATGAGGCCATGCTAAAAGTCATGGCTCAAATTTAACATGGTAAAAGAGAACTACCTCACTATTTGTGTTGTTAATAATAGTTACACTATCTTTTAATTCACCTATGTTCTTAATTTCATATTACCAGTTTTAATTAGGTCTAACAATTAACACAAAAACTGTGATCCAATTATATGATTACAAATAAACTATTATTTCAAGACAAACAATTTGAAAATAACTTTTACCATTTTTTTTCATTCAATTTATACGACAATGTATTTATAACTACCAAGAGACTATTGCTGAAAGATAAACACATTGGGAATAAGTAATAAAATGTTTTGGTAATGTGTGTCTAGTTATTATTTTTTTAATACAAATTCTGGAATAATTTGCTGTGTGTTGTTATCTTTTTAATACAAGTTCTGGAATGATTTGCTGTGTGTTGTTATTTTTTTAATACAAGTTCTGGAATAATTTGCTCTGTGTTGTTATTTTTTTAATAAAAGTTCTGGAATAATTTGCTGTGTGTGCTGACCCGTCCTACTGTTTATTACACTTTTAGTCCTTACTATGAACACATCTTTGTGTGTTATATAGTCCTTTATTATATTATTATAACAAAATTCATTGTGTATAGACAATGTTATTTAAACTGTTCTGTATGGGAAGGTGTGGTAGACTAAAGAAGGGTAGAGCACAAATGTGCTGACCCGCATCTGGGACTCCGAAGGATAGCCCAGGGTGCGCCTACATGTGATGGGTACCTGACTCAATGTTAGAGAAAATGAAGGCAGCTGGGCATAGAAATGAACACACTATGTTCACAGGAACAGAATGAACTCTACTTCATCTGCTTTAGGTGACTGACCAGATAAAATATTGACTCCACTAATCCTGAATTTTCCCAAAGTTGGCCTAGTATATGTGTTCAATTATATGACTATAAACTAGACCACATAAGCATATTTTGGCAATTCCACCTCCATTGTTTATTCATCAAGTCTCATGCAGTTGTAGTCTATACTTATATCAAGCAAACACATGTTTAACAAGTAGGCCTTACAGTTCATACTGGTAAAGCATGCAGAAATCAATGATGTATATCATGAATTGGGCCTATGGGTAATGTTATGAATTCTATTCTGAAGCAAAGTGTGTTAGCCAGCAGCTAACATTTTCAGGACATAGCATCTAGGCCTAACTTAATTCTATAGATTTTTGGTCTCCAACTAAGCCCAGCCATTATATTTTAATGCAAGAAGTGCATGCTTGAAAAGTTAAGCCCGCCACTTTATGCCATCAATTTAATCCACACACTTGACCTTGAGGGTTCGGGTTAAAGGTACCAAAATACCAACCTTTTCATGCAAATGATTAATAATATGTCCCAATTTCACCTTATTTACTCAATAAAATCTGTACAAGTTTCATATTCTCTTTTAATACCAGTGGCGTAGCGAGGTCGGGTGTCACCCGGTGCAGCACTTAATGGTGTCAACACCCCCCATCAGAGGCGTAGCGACTCTTCCCGGGGACAAACTTTCAGTTTTCGATTTGCACCCCCCTCAAACTTTCAATTTTCACCCCCCCCCCTCACATTTTTCTCTATATATTTTACTATTTTTTGCCTTAGTGTCACCCCTCCCCCCCCCTAAATGGTGTCACCCGGTGCGGTCCGCACCCCCCCCCCCCCTTCGCTACGCCTCTGGTTAATACATTGTGTAGCCTATCCTATTTTATTACGAAAGTAAAGATGCAATTGAAAATTAGATTTCATACAAAATATTTTTAAAGGAAAAAAAACATGTCTGGTGAAAACATAAATTTTTAAAATTTGCCAATAAAAGTCAAAACAAACATACGGAAATGATTGATTGAAGTATTCTATATTTAGAATTCTTTGCACATTTTCCAATCTGAGAAACGTAGCCATTTCTAGATCGTTACCTACAAACTTCCGCTTATAAGGGAGTGAATACAACAAAAAAATAGAATACGGCCTAATTTTCTTTCGCGGGAAAGCTCATACACATTCACACAGATGTATAGATCTTCTGGATACTAGAATCTACATAGATCTATTTGTAAATGTATTGATAATATTGCTAACTTACACTTTTCACCAAGTCCTAGAGCTAGAATCTAATAGTTCTCATACTTTGTAGATTCTAAATCTTATTCTAAATGTTGGTATTTTTTATATTAAACAATCTACACTACACGCACACAGTACTGCTGTCAGAACACACCATTCTACACGCTGGAAATTCATTAAGAGTTGACGTACACTCTGTAACTAGTCTGTAAGTGTAACTGTATAGAGTATGAGTTAGAATTCTTTTATTTCAGATCTAGAATCAAGTTGAGTTAGATTTTAGACCTCTACTACTAGAGCTAGAAATATGATTATTAATTATTAGACAATATTATTAGTTAGAATTAGATTCGAGATCTAGAATCGAGTATTACTAGTATTAGAGAGAATTGTAACGTTAGTGCTAGATCTTAGATCTAGATTAGAGATCTGTACAATTTCTGAAGCAAAATCAGTTTGATACTAAACTAATAGGAACTAAAAACTAATAATATATAGATCTATTATTGGACAATAGGCCAGGATTTGTTGTGTTTTGTTGTTCTTTTTTTTTTTTTTGCAGTTTTCATGCATAAATTGATAAATTGTGTCCTAACATTCGGGTGCTAACACTAACCAATTTTATTTAATAGCCGCTTTCTGTAACCTACAACCATGCTGAATGGGACAGATAACCATGAAGAAATAACTATTGAAATAAAAAAGGTGGCAAATGATGCCTTAGCAGCATCAGGCTTCCATTATTCAGGACGAGAGGGGCAAATAGCATGCAGTGTTGGCAATAAGGTGTACATTTTTGGAGGTGTCGAGCAAGGTCAAGGAGAAGAGCCGAAAGAAACTAATGACATCATAGTCTTCGATTTAGGCAAGTCTTTGGATTTTTTTTTTTAAACTTCAAAAATTAAAATAGGACTTCAGATGTCAGAATTAGTATTTTACAAACACATAACTTGCATCAGTTATACATTACATTGCTGATTTTATATTCTCTATCCTAACATACATCTGCTATTTCAGTTTTACTTTCTATTTGATTAAAACAAATCTAGACAATTAATTATGTGGATGTTGAATTTCTTAGCCACTTTAAAATGGTCACAACCTCAAGTCACTGGTACAGTCCCTCCACCACGGTCTGCAGCTTCTCTGGTTGCTGTGGGGACAAAACTGTATTTGTTTGGAGGACTGAGTCACATGTCTGGATGGTTTGATGACATTTTCACATTTGATACAAGTGAGTTTACAAGTTAAAAAGTTTGTTGTGCAAGTATTAGTATAAACCAGGGGTTGGCAACATGCGGCTCTTTTGGTGTCTCGATGCGGCTCTCCAGCTCCTTGCACAAATATTAATAGTAACAGTTATATTATTTCATTTTAAAAACTCATAACAAAAATTATACTGTAAAGATACACAAGTTTAAACAGGATAAAAACACTCAGCCCTGTGACAACACTTCCATGCTTTCCACTGCCCAAGTGCCGACTTTTTCGAATATCGTTAATTGGGGAATGTTAATTTAGAATCCTAACCAGATAATAAATTATTGAAATAAAAATGTCAGTGGCTCTTTAAAAACTGGGAAATAGTCAAAATTGTAACTTTTGGCTCTTCCGTCTCAAAAGGTTGCCGACCCCTGGTATAAACAAACATTGAATTAAATAATTATGACGTAGATTGGAAATACAATGCATTTTTTTAATCTATTAACGGTTCTTCTTAGTAAAATGGTCACTTAAGCAGTTTGGTACTTGGTGTTATGAGACTTGAGTAATGTTTAACAGCTGTCCATTTATGCAGCCAACAACTCCTGGTCAATTTTGGACACAGAAGGAATCAAACCCAGGGCTCGTGACAAGCTACAGGCAGTGGCTATTGATTCAAACATTTACTATTTTGGGGGATTTGGACCAAAATCAGATGAAGCGGAAGCTGCAGATGTAAGTTTCTTGCTTGTTTTTTTTTATAGCCAATTTTTGTGTTTTTCTAATATTTGTGGGCTCATTTTATTATTTAGCTTATTTTAGTACCCACCATTTTAAAATATATTTTCCCATAGCTGGAAGGTGATGATGATGAAGAGGATGATATTCCAGAGGCACAGGATCAGGACGGTGCAGAATTTGGTTGGTTTAATGACCTCTACATTTTAGACACAGGTTTGTTGGACACTTTTTTTTTACACAGGAAAAATCTTTTCTTATTTTTGTAAGAAATATCATAAACATTTTCTCTTTTAGAATATTGAATGTTTTTTGTAATACAATTTTTTTTTCCTATATGTATCTACTCCAGTTACATCCAAATGGTCACAGCCTATGCAGTTGAACTTAGGTGTCCCAACACAGAGAGCAGCTCATGCCATGTGTGCTATAAATAGACATCTAGTCATATTTGGAGGTCGAGATATAGAAGAAAGACAGAATGATCTACATATATTTAATGTTGGTAAGTGTTATCATCTATTTTGCACTTTGGATATACAGGTAGATGCTAATTTGATTTAATACAAGTAGGTACTCCAAACTGCCGAAAATCGAGGTTTCTGCTCATTTTCTTTACTTTTTCACTACTTTCCATCACAAAGTTCTCCCATAAAAATTAAGCGTATACTAATAAAAATGGTATGGTTAGAACGCTTAACTTAAGCTCTACAATAATGTGTTGTTTGTTTTTATATTGGTAAAGGAAGAATACATGTTTTTGTAGCTTGAAAAACATCACCACAACGATTTTTATCGGCAAAATGACAGACCCGTTTTTACCCCTATCGCATTCTGACGCTTTGCGCTTCGGCGCCATGTGACGTATGAATTCTAAACATAGCTTATCGTACGCAGGATTGAATGACCTTTAGTCTCGTATAAAATGTTAACAAATTATTTTAGTAAAAACGGTTTAATTCTCAAATTTTCTACGAAAAATTGAATTTTCACCAAAATCCACTAAAAATACAAATTTTCTACTAGCATGGTTAGAAAGATCGTCCATTTTTCTATTTAAATGCGAAACTATCTTTACAATATCAAAGATGGCGCGAATGGCAAAGCGCGATAACGAAACCATGTGTAACTCCCGTTCGCCGACGCGATCACGAAATTTTTTACAAAGAAAATAAAAGCCCGGCCCGGATCAGACCCCTGACGTGTCTGAATAGAAATCTATTTTTTCTTACGCATTATATCACAATAAAAACAGTTCAATATTAAAAAGAATACAATAAAATATTAAAATATTTAAGTATTTATAATTTAAAACTAAACTTTATCTGTAAAATTTGAATATATTTAGTAAAAGGTCACGCTGACCTAGTTTTTCGACCGGCAACGTTTCGAGAGAAAACTACAGAAAATTGCGATAAAAACACTAATAAGAACTGATTATCCAATTTAAAATGTCCAAACTATCTGCTAAATATATAATTCGATTAGTCTTTACAGTTATGGGTATACTTTATCACCCGGTCTTTCTTTTTTCTTCATTTACGGGTCGTAATTTGCTAAAAATAAGTCTAAAATAGGTTGTCTATTTTTAATCTCGGCCCGATTTTAATCCTGAAATCGTGCATTTTTATTAACGTTTTTCAGCGATCTAACACTAAATTATTTCACTGAGAATGTTTCTTTTTAAATGTAGATTAACTGTAGTTACAAATAAATAACTTTTTCTATATATCTGTTAAGTTTTAGTAATTATTTGTAAATTTAAAAAAACTGACTTAAAGCCGTGTTGAGGTATAAAATGCTCACACCCACCTTATTTTCTCAAATCTGGACATTTAACTGCATGATTTATAGCACTCAATTTAATTTACATAATTAGGTAACATTTTCCCGTTTAAATCGATATAAAGGTTATTATTGTGCATGCAATAGAAGAATTTTAGTGGTTTTGTGAAAGTTGGTGATTTTTTAGTTTTTTTTCGCCCTGTCAAAATTTTGGTAAATATGGTGTAGTACGATTTTTAAGACAAAAAACGTTTATCTTTAACTTGTTATACTAGTTTGAAAAAAATTGAGACTACAATCTACCTACTCTTTTATTGGAATTAAGTTAGAGAATGGGTATAGCTGCTATAGATTTTGAGATAATCGGTGCTAAAGTCGGGTCCTCATGAGGCCGAAAAAGGTAAAAAAAAACGCGTGTTTCTTAAGCGCATAACTTTTTTTCTAATTGTCCTACAGACATAAAGTTGGTATCCATGTTCTTAGAATTTTTAGTACTATGCAGAAAAACCAAAGCCATTATTGTGTGACTGATTTGAAAAATCCATTTGGAGTACCTAATACAAGTTTTAAAATTGTATTGTCTATGAGGTGTTGTTCTATATATACAGTTGTAATTTTTTTTACATTGTTTATATAAACGATATAATAATATTTTTAGATACGAGGAAGTGGGTAATGGATCTTAATGCAGCAGGCCAGACCCCAGCCCCTAGGTCCTTCCATTCACTGACCGCTGTGGGGGAAAGGGCTGTTCTGTTTGGTGGACGAGGAAGGAATGATCAGCATTTTGACACTTTTGATGTATATGATTTTGGTAAGGGTAATTTTCTTGTTAATCTAAAGTTTGAAAAATAAGATTTGAAAAACCATTATAAAGCAAATGCATTCTTTTGTCAATTTCTACCTTGTTTATAAAATTAGCAAAAGATACAAAGTTGTAGTCTTTATGTTGAAAACACTCACTTAACTGTAAAACTTGTTTATTGATATTGAAATTTGTTTTTTAAAACGTGTTTTATTATATTTAAATATGAACATTTTTTTTTAAGTGAAGAGAGAGTGGCTACCTGTCAAGATAGAGGGAGACAAACCAGCTGCTAGGGGACAGCACTGCTGTGTCACAGTGGGGGATTCCATATTTTTATTTGGTGGCTCTGGGAACTTTAGTCCTGAGACAATGCAGTGCCAAACATTCTACACAGATGCCTTTCTCATCAAAACTAGTAAGTTAGCATTGCTACTGTACTATTATTTTATGTATATATTTGAAAAATATGTGTGTTGAACATAGTTATTCTAATTTGGTCTATAGGTAATTAGTTAATTCAGTTTCACTTGTGTATTATTAACATAAGGCTGTTATTGTATAGTTAAGCTACAACAAAGCAAATGTTTGTTTGTTTTTATCTGAGCATATAGAGGGATAGAGTGGTCAGCACTATGCCCAACCACCATTACTATCTTGATTAAAATTATTAATTTATTGTGATACTCTCCAGTTAGCAAAACTCGATGTTTTAGCATTTGTCCACCTTGTTCAGTGTAATATGAATGTAGATGTCATTGTTTTGTTCCCACAGAAAACTTTACAAAAGAAAGTGCTCATTCAAATGGATTGTTATCCTGATGTCCGCAGTTTAAAATAGGTTTGTTGGTTTTCTGCTCAGTCTCATTTGGTTTGTTTTGATATGCCAATTGGAATGAATGCATCTGTCAAAGTATATTGAATGCCTGTTTTGTTTAATGAATGTTGTAGCTGCCTTTGTTTTTCTTTTATTGTATCATTTATCTATTCTTTATGATATATTTTTATTAGAAAACTAAATAGTAATAAAACAAAATATATTTATATATTTTGGTTAGGTGTTGTTTTAAAGCAAATTTGTTTATAAGCCATAAATTAAAACTACATTTTTGAGCTTTTTTTTTTTTAATTTTTTTTTTTTAAATTAATTTGGAGATAAACATTAAAACTCAGTATGCATTTTTTGTTGGTGCTATTTATTTACATGCTATTTACTTTAATAATGAATAAATTATTGATTTTCTCACATTGTTATCTATTCAACTTTCAAAACAGAAATTGTTAAATTTAATTGTATTTTGATTTTGTATCTGTTTAAAATATAATACCAAAAAAAATTTGCAAACTGCCAATTAGTGTTGATACAAGAGAAATTAGTTTTGATACTATAATATGAACCATCACTTAGTTTATCTTACCAAGATGCATAGCAATTTTTAATGTGTGAATATATCATGTTTCATGGTCTGCAATTAAAATAACTTTTTAGTTCTACAACTGCATCAAAAGGACTAATCATTTATTGTATAGTCAATAAAAAATCATGAGATATATATGATTGGACATGTGATGTGTATGTTTCTTCTTTTAAAGGCAAACCTAGTCACTTATGTAGGTTTTTTTTTTTTTTTTGTCTAGTTAGTATTTTTCAATTCAAATCATTATGAGTGTATGGGAAAGTTTTAGAGTTCCACTTAGTTTTTGTCAACAGATATGTAGGTCTACATGTCGGTTATAAGTTAATATTTACATTTTATAAAATGTCAGTCAGAGTTGCTTACCCTAACAGTTATTATATAGATAGTTAAATATGATCTCCTTTGTTTAGATGATTGTCTTCCATATAAACATGTAGTTTTTTTAGGACAGTTGTCTAACTTTGTATTTGAAACTGTGTACTAACAAATACTTTAGGCTAGTCTGATGCCCTATTAGTTTATTGCTTGTGCCCATATTGCCATCCTCTTGGTGGCCATGTTTGCTGGTGTATTGGCTGAGAATATTGTTCTTTAGCTGTAAATTTGGACTCTCTGAGCAACAATGAATTAACTCTACAATTAAAATGTTTCAATCAATAAAATTGTTTTATCCTGTAATTTGTGTTTGTGACTAATTTAATAATATTCATTATTATTCATTCAATATATTGTTTACAATTACATATTTGCACATTGTTTCCCCACATTACGTGGGTGTTAATGATGTCCTGCAGTAATTAATTAAAGCTATTGGTCGCAACCCACTTTATATAAGGTGCCACTACACAGCCATCACTGCTAATACTAATAGATATGTTAAAAAGATTCAGTGACTAGTATTATATTTTACTTTGAATAACTATCACTAATTAGTTTTCCATGCTCAGCTGACTTATTTTTTAAAATCTGTTGAATAGAGTTGAAGTGAAGTGTATCATTAGTCTGTTGTAGCACTTGTTTACTGTTTGCTGGCTGATCCTGATTTTTTTATTATATTGGGTTCAATTCAATGACAAAAATTTTGTGTCTGCTGAAGGAGGATGGTTTTAACATCCGATGTGTTAAACATTAGCTGCAGCATTGTTGTATAAGGCAAAATGAGATATAGGCCTACTATTGTTGTGATGATAAGCAACACCAACTGTACATTTACTTAATTGATTAATACATCTTATTGGGTTAAAAATGGGTTAGTAATGTTTTGCCATTTGGGGTCATCCATAAATGACGTCACGCTTTTTTTGACGATTTTTACGTCGTCACAAAAAACTAGACCTTCTCCCTCCTAAAATGACATCACACCTCAGCCTACAACCCTCCTCAAAATTGCTGTTGAATTTTTCTTAAAACATCGATATTTTTCCAAAATCTTATCTGAACTCCGTCAACAGAATATTTTGATCAATTCCTATTTCAATTTATTAAAACGCGAAATAACGGCTAAAATTAGTTTTCTAACATTGCTTTTTTATAATGTGTGACGTCCCATCATATGAACCCACCTCCCCCTCATCACACACCGTCACAAAATTACGGACCACCACATTTATGGACGACCCCTTTGACACGAATTTTTAATTATATGGCTGAGTTAGAAATACATCGCTTCATTAGATATAGTTACTCGATTTGACTACAATCAGAACAAAAAACTGGACAGTCAGATATTGAGACATAAAAATTTAAAAACGTTTGTAAAAAATGAATCGAGTTTCGATTCTAATTTATATTAGCAGGATCACAAAAAGGTGTGTTTGTGTTTTAATTGTGCTCTGTTCTATTTAACAAGGGCTCTCCCTATACCCAAATGTCATTTTGTTTAGTAATTGTCTTGACGATCCTCCACTTTTGTTCTTGTTCTAGAAAGTTCGGATACCACCCACAGCTAGCTCTCATACTTTGAAGTGTGGTTTTACACTGATCTTTGACAACTATGTAGGCGGCTCTCTCGCTCTTTTACTCTCAAGTTTAATTTGAGTTACGGGGATTCCCGCGTCTACTCGCTCAAACGTCATCAATTTGTGTGCACACGTTTTGATGTTCACACGAACAGCTCCATTCAGGAAATCATTGAGGAATGACACGTGCATTGTAAGTGAGCTTCTTACAGCCTACAGGTGTAATTGACACCATCCCCCCTCCGACAGCGTTTGACCTACTTATTTTGTACACCCGGGATGTACGTAGCCATCTTTCTTGTTGGCAATATCTTTATCAACAAACCGGCCGTGTCACATACTACTGTCTCCACCCCTCTCTAAAGATACCATAATTTTAATTTCTAACAGGTTTTGCATCTATGATGTTTTTAACAAAATAAACCCAAAAATTACCCCTCCCACTTGTAAACCCCATCCCTCCTAGATGTGTTACAAATTACATCAATTACCGACGACCTCTTGGGTGGTACAGATAAAGTAAAATGATACAAACGTTCATGTAGACCTCCTATAGTAAACTGGAATAAACGATCTAGTACTGTAGTAAACTAGTTTAAATGTTCCAATCATAGTTTCTTTTAGGCAACTCTTCTGTGGGTTTTATATAGAAAATATATACTTTTACCGGTGTCCGCAACCCGGAAAATGTAGTCCGCACCCCCGAAAATTTCCAGTCCCCCCACGGAGAAAAATGTCTAAAAGAAACACTGGTTCAAAACGACCTACATACTGCAATAAATTTGTCTAAATATCATCAATTCATCAAAGACCTACTGTAGTAAACTGGTTACCATTTTCTAGTGATCTGAGTCTCATAATACCTAGATCTAGTGTACAACGAAGTCTCGCGTTTTGTTGTGTTACATTGTAAACAAACTGTGAATGTCGTTGGTTGGGTTGTTAGAAAATTTGTGCGTGTTTTATTTTGGGGTTGTTAGAAATTAGGTGCATGTTTTATTTTGGGGTTTTAGAAAATATGTATATAAATATAAATTTTAGATGTGATCTTTTCAAATATTTGTATAATGTAAGTATAATGTAAATGTTATGTTTCTAAGAAATATATAAATGTCATATTTATAAGAAAAATGACATGTTTGTTCGAAATGTCTAAATGTCATGTTTGTAAGAAATATGTAACTGTAATATTTTGTAAAAAAAAATATGTGTAAATGTCAAGTTTGTAAGAAATGTGAAAATGTCATGTTTGTAAGAAATCTGAAAATGTCATGTTTGTAAGAAATGCATGAATGGAGGAAACACGAGCTGGTTAAAGGACAAATGCGTGGGTGTTACACAAGCACGTGCATGCCAAGGTCATGTATCAAGGCGTGCCTAATGTATACACCAGATCTTGTCAGCCTCGCTTCCCGTATCCCAAATTAGCCGCCATCATGTTCCCCCCATTTCCCATCTTCTAGTTGTGTATTTATCCTACCATCCAACAGCCCCAGCCATTGTTACTTAACAAAGCCATACCGTCCCCACTTTGTGCTTGTTGTTTTTTCTTCTAGCTGTGACGTAACGAGCCTCAACACTTGACATTCCTGAGAGGTTTATAAATAAATATAATTGTGGATCCTCGGGGGTCCGCGCTGTTAACCTCGCCCCACTGCTCTTAAGAGAATAGCATCAAAGATTATCTCCCTGCACGCGCCAGCCAACTGCCGCATTTTTTTCTCGGAATACGGGGGTGGTGTAGAGGGGGGGGGGGTGTAGATCTGTGTCTTTTACAAGTGTTATTTCCTGCAAGTTGAAGAAAACAAGTGCGGTTGGAAATATAACTTAGATCATTACTTATAACGACGTGCTGAGAAGATAAAATTGGGGGAAACGTGCCTGTCTATGCCAATGGCAAGATCTAAAAAAAATATTTGCTTCCTTAAAGTTCACGAAAACGCAAAGAATGCGCGCGCAATTTGAGATCAGTTTGTTTGAAACTTTATCTTAGCAGGTGTCATCCAATTACAGCCACCAATTCTTCTGTTTCCTGTCGTATGGCAGGCTACATCTTTATCTCAGTTTGGTGGAAAATTAGAGGGTTTTTTTTAACTACAAGCAATATTGTATCAAATCTATAAATAGCTAGAAAGTTCAGTGTGAGTGTACACATGACGTAATTGTCTTTGTTTGTCGTTCAGAGCTCAGAGTTCAAGTTGGTCAGAAAAACTCGGAATTACAAGTGTTATTGTTCTTAATTTAACAGTTTAATTACCGAAACAATGAGTAATCAAGTACCTCTATCAACGACAACTATTTGTCAGACATACTAGTGTAATATATATATATATATATATATATATATATATATATATATATATATATATATATATATATATATATATATATCAGCACATAGGAATTTTAATTTTTTACTAGCATTTTTTAGCTGGGGCTTGAAGTGATATACTGGATTTAGAAATGTATAATATAAAGAGGCATAGTGGATATCATGTAATACGGTGTAGATAGGTCACAGGTCATATTTTGCTTTATTAACTTTATATAATATTTGCACCATCTCTAAAAGCCCAATTTTCAAAAGTCCAGTAATAAATAGTGCATAGAGGTGAGATTATTTAAAGTGTAGTTTAGTGAAATAAAATGTCCATTTAGTTCCAAGTTTTAAAGTAGATTTTCTCAAATCGATCAATGTTCAGTAACGTTTGGTCTAGCAGGAGTCTCACATA